GAGAGAGAGAGAGATAGATAGAGAACAGACCTGGCCTACTCGACCAGGGCCACCCCCCGAATGGTTATACGCCAAATTTACAGCTTAGCCAGTGCCACCACCACCACCACCATCGTCCACAAATACAGTATTTACTACCTCCGTAGAGAACCGTGCAACTGATACATGCGTTTGTATATGGCTCAAGGATGGAACAAACGAGGGCATTTTCCGGCCATCCCCGATGCGATGTCCCGATAACAAATTTACCGAGAAGACTATTTGAAGTTTGGGATGATCGTTTTTATTGATCCCACAAAGCTTGCGTGACTTTGACTATTTTTTACTAAGCCGCACGGATCGGAACAATTTTACAAGTCATTCACATTTTGCTGCCGCATTCTTCTGCTCGCGTATTCCACAATATTTTTTTTTTGTATTTTCAAGAGTTTTTTTATACTATTCTGCTTATTAAAAGTACATAAGCGACAAAAGGTCCTTGGAAATATAATTATCAATTTAATGAAAATTACGAGAGTCTAATTTCGAAAAGTCTCTGAAACTAAATTTGCAAAAGCGCGTTGAAAGATAGATGTGGCGATTTCATTCTCGCGAATGTTCACGGCATTCTGAAACGTCCACCTTTGTCTCTCAAAAGTTTCTTCATTCGTCGCATTGTCACAATCTCTGTGCGTTGAGCGTTCTACGTCGCTATTATACTTATCTTTAGTAGAATAAAGTTAACAAAACATAATATATATAGGATGGTCTGAGACCACCTGTACATCCCTTTTAAAGTGAAAGCAAATAGTTTTATCAAAAACCTCGAAAATTTTGATAAATAAATTGGATACGCTTTATCGAATAGTGATATTTTCAATTTCCGGTCTAGATAGTCTATTTTCGGTCGGAAGTGGAAATTGAAAATATCACCATTCGATAAAGTGTATCCGATTTACTTGCCAAAATTTTCGAGATTTTTGAAACCACTTCCCCTCATTTTAAAAGGACGTCTCAGACACTCTGCACAAATATTAATGTAATGTGATAAAGCAATTCAATTAAAAAATTCTGTATCGCTAAACTTTTCAAACAGAAAGTTTGGAAGTAAATTTTATTTTTCGAGCTAGATAAAATCGATATTGCTTCACGAGATCATACATGACTATTACAAGATCAATTAAACATCACGTTAATTGCGACTCCGAGGAGAAGCCTGAGCATTCGCTGAATTCGGCCTATTCGACCGATGCGCACGCTCGCTGTCCCTCTTTGCGGCCTGAAAATTTGCCGCGACTCGATCATTACTCAACAAGGGACCGGGAAATCTAGCGCCGTAATATCTGGCACCAAGCGGCGCGGATAATAGAGAAGGACGTGTATGTCGCGATCGTAGTAGTAGCCAGGACATTCCGAGGTTTCGCCCGTCGAGAGGCGGCACCCTCTCGAAGTTCCTGTACCCTATCACGGTCAGTCTGGTCATATCCTATCCTTCATCCGAACATTTCCATCCTTCCGGTAACCTCTACTTACCACCACCACCCCCCCCTTCCCTCCCGCCCATCCAACGTTTGCGAGAACTCCGGATGTAACCATACGTCATTCGCTATGATCTATATCTTCTGCCGTTCTCGGGCATCGCGCGCTCGACCCAACACAAACGTTTCTCGTGCGCGCGCTAGCATACGTAACATGTGCGAATACTCGACCGCATCTAGCGTCTCTATTAAGCCACCGCTCATTTTCAAGCTGCATATTGCACTTGCGCTTAGCATCGCGAGTATGTTCACCATTAGCCGTGACCACCCGCCGGATGATTGCGGGTCGCTCTTGTCCGCTTCTACACGGAACATGTGCCGCGAATTAACTTACGTATCTTTATATGGGATGTCGCGAATGCAACGCCGGGTCAACTTTTATATCCCACGGGTCGAAGCTAGATTCTAGCTGGAAGAAAACGATGGACATTTAGAGACAATATGTCGAAGGAACGTGTCATGAGAAATTGTATATTTTTTAAAAGAGAAGAGGCAGCGAATATTGAAATGAAAGAGAAAAAAGACAAAAGTTGTTAAAATGAAATGTTTGTAGGTTTAGAGTGAAAAAATAAAAGAACAATTCTTGCAAGAATCTCACATATCTCCTTTAGTTCCACTCATACTTCACTTTAACGTTTCAGTTGCCGTGAAACTTTATCGTTTTAAATTTATAAGAAATATTGTTCGTTATCGCATTTATTTTTTATAAATGCTTGCAAAATAAATTCATAGATACAAAGAAACATCTTATTAAATATTGAGATTTCTAATTAAAAAGTTCGACACAATAGTCTCTGTTCATAATTGACCGACTGAAAGCTCTTTGCAAAAGGTTGCTCAATAATTAGCAATGCTCCAACTCACCCGGGTGGCCCACTAAACCCAACAGCTCCCACTTCTCTTTCTCCTCTTCGCTCTTTCGCTGAAATGCATAAAGTGGAACGCGTAACACGAATATCTGCGTATAATTAACAATTATCCGTCTCATCTTGATTTTCCATGAACCGTGGAATGGCCGGCACATGCGCGTAAGCCTCGGTGAATGATTCCCCGATGAATTTCGTCATCGCGACGAATACCACGGGGTTGGCGAGGGAGAGGAGAGCAGGATGAGAAAGGGGTCGACGACGGAGGGGGGCACGCTCGGCTTTCGGGGGTGGTTGTTGCCACGGATCGGGATTTGCACCACCACCGGCGATACGAACCCAGTTGGAGGGGTAGGGGTCTTTTCCGGGGGCTTAACATACACACTCCACCCCCGGTAGGCGGAGTGTACCGCCTACGAGCTATCCCCACTCGTCACCGTGGCACTGATACGCGATATCAGCGAACACTTGTTGCTCCGATGAGCGTAGAGCGACGACGGAGTGCTGCTTCCATCCCCCCGTCGCCCCCCCGTCCCGGACGCGATTTTTCACGTGCTGATTTTTCCGCCGGTTCCCTCTCCGTGCCCCGTGCGTATGCCGCTTGCCTTCTATTCTCCGTAACTAATCCGATAGGATAATATTCCATTATCGAAAAGCAGCTCGCCGCATGAGTGGCTAGTGGAATTAATTTTGTTATTCTGTAGCGGACATCGCTAAAAATAACGCATGTGAAATTGCGAGTGCAGGGTGTTGCGGAAATACCGTAATGGTTTCGAAGGAGTGAGCGATTGGAAGACTCTATAACTCTTTTTTTATCACGATTGATACTATTGCTAACTAATTTGTATCTAATTATTACAATTATTATTACTGTTACCAAGATTATCACTTTGAAATGCTTTTTGCTGTCGAGAAGTTTAGCAGAAGTTATCGGGATAATTTAACTTTTTCTTCATATATTACTCTCTTTATTTTACTCAAGAGCAAATAATTTTCATTTGCTACTCTCTTGGTGCACACTGTAAACATAACTTTCAAGCAAAACTAATTTATGTTTATCACTTTTTGCTTCGTAAGATAAATGCAGGTCATTTGCATACATTCATCTCGAATCTGGAGCGTGGGTGCGATTTAAGACTTGGGATTTTTCTGAAGAAAAATTAATAAACCATCGTCGTTTTTTTTGTTTGTTGCAGGCAGTGCGGTGGCTGCAGCCGACACCATTTCCGCGCCGTGGACCCCCGCGAGTTCCGGGCCGCCGCCCGATGCCAACGGCTCCGGCTCGGATACGAAGAACCTCGACGTTGGCGAAATTAGCGATGTAAGTCGACCATACCGTCACCAATTAAGGACAACTACGCCGGTTGCGAGTTTGTAGTGGTACCTTTTATATTTCAATTAACTCGCCGACCTGAACTTGAAGAGACGAGTTTTTTTCGACTTGTTTATCTCTCACAAAAAATTTCACAGCAGTTAAACTTTTATAGTAGAAGCATTTATCGTTACTCCGTCAATTACGGCGTCGTTTCGCGCGACTATTTAAAGTTATTTGAGATTTTTGGTTCAAAATTTTTGATCAGATTTTTCATTATATGTCATGTGGCGCAAAAGAATCTATGAATGAATCTTAATATAGCAAAATTCTTATTATTTCATTTTGTATAATTTAATTCTACAATTTCTTAATGTGTATTTAATTTTTAAAGTTTACTCTAATTAATTCTAATTCTCTCAAACGTCTTAAGAAATTTTAACTTAATTTAATTATTAATCTCATTTCGCGCCATTATGAGCGAACACAATCGTGCTCCATATCTCCGGCGAAATGTATCTTAAATAAATGGTTAGTCGGTTATTAAAATCATCATTTCCGAGATACACACACACTCCATTTGTCAGTTGTGGTATAAACATTTCTGATTAATCTCGGCATCTCGTTCTTATCTAATTCCGCGCGCTCATAAGCGTAGTCTTCGCGTAATCAACCAGGCTCGCAAAACCTAGGTTGTTTCTTGCCAACCGGAAAGATTCATCTCTCGCGCGCAAAAGAAACATACAAATAAATATTGCGTCTTTAACAAAGTCGTTAGTTTACTGACCGCGGATGCTGGAGGCGAGTGAGTGCCGTTGGATACGCTAGCATCCGTTTCTGAACACCTGGCCGGATGTCGTGGACTCGGTAACGTCACTTTGTTAAATCTCGTGTTTCTGAATGGTCATTTATCTTGCCTAGTCAAAGTAAAATATAGTATTTGTATTTCTGTGTTACTATAGTTTTTACATTAAATTATCCCGCTCATTGTTACGTAATTGAAACTATTGGAGAACGCCAAAAAATCTAATGGACTTTTGAGACATTTTTATGGATATTTTATCCTTTTATGGCTTTTGATAACATTAAACTTTAATTTTTAGATTAACTAAAAAATAAAATGTTATTATTTATTTATTTATTAATCAATCATAGCAGTTAATTACTCGTGTATTATTCATTTATGCTGAAATGAATAAAATTGATTATAATTATTCTTTCTCAATGTCTTCGATAAATTGCTGCAATAATTTAAAAATTCAGATGAACGAAGTACCGTTTCGCAGTAGCGTTTATCGTTGATCTACTCGCAGCCCCCGATCAAAGCGGTCGAGATCAAATCGAGAATTTTTTTGTACCATCTGGAGAGTCTCCCGTTCTAGATTGCGTGCTCGACGATATTATATCGAACGTAGCGAACGTGACTAGGGTTCTTGGAAGGGACACAAGCCTCTTTCCTCGCACCCTTTCCACACTTCTCGGTATCTAAACGGCCCAGGATAATCGTCTGTTTCTCGACTCTTCGTGCGGCACGGAGGTTTTCGATTCGTTGAAATTCCAGTTCCAACGAGTACCTTGCACTAGTAGGTGTTTCCGTGTATCACATATTCGCGCAACGTTGTTCTTCTTCACTAGGCCGAACTAGAAGACTCCCTGCATGCTGTACAGAGCACGACACGACGAACGCGCGAAAGAAAAATGAAAGGAAAAACGCGCGCACGAGACTCCCTTGATTTGCTGAGAGAGAAAATCGAGAACTTCACTCACTCGGCTACGTTCCAGGCGTGGCTTCAGGGCTTGAAGAGCCTTTGTTTCAGAGGGAAGAAGGTCTCTCAGGTCCGGCCACGTTCGCGATCGACGCGGCAGATAAATCGCGTGAGCGCGGTCAGCGGTGGAATCGGAGATAAATGAACTTTTCTCGTGTCGAACGTGCCTAGGTCGCCGAAGTACATCGCAGCAAAGACACTCCACCACCACGAAACGCAATCATGACGAACATGATGAATGTTTTCGCGGAAAGCGTAACGGAATTGTTGACCGCGAAACTGAGAGCATCTTGATCGGGAACTGATCAGAACTCGAATCTAATGCAGTCGACAAGTTGAACACAGGTTTTTGAGATATTTTTTTGTAGAATTGAATAAATGATGAAACTTGTTAAGTATTAAAATTTTTATTTTTCTTTAATTTTGAGAAAATAATTGATTTTTGTCATGTTAATATCTCGTAAAATTTTTATAATAAAAAAAAATAGTTTGGTAATCATAATTACTTATTGATTCAATTGTTCAAAAAATGAAGTCGCGACTTAAGTCGCTCTGTGAATTTTATCTTGACGGAGTTAATTCATCACTTTGCGATCAATAATTATTTTTTAAATTGGCCGAATAGAAACAATACTTCAGTATTAATTTAAAACCAGTACGTCATGCACGAAGAATATTATTCTTAAATTTTATCCATATCATTTATTATAATTCCAGCGATATTGCAAAATGTGCATTATCTTTTTCGGTCGCCATTAAAGCCTCATTAACGATTAAGAAGACATGACCATGAGTGATGTGCTGTAATTGCAGTTTGCCCTTCCTCTATGCTAAATTAGATGATCGTATTTTGCAGGACGAGAAGGACCTGTCGGCAGCGGACGCGGAGGGTGTGTGGTCGCCGGATATCGAACAGAGCTTCCAGGAAGCTCTTACCATATATCCGCCATGCGGTCGACGCAAAATCATCCTTTCCGACGAAGGGAAGATGTACGGTGAGTCTCACAATTTCCTGGTCTATCATTCCCCTGTCTATCGTATAAAAATACCCTTTTATTACGACTTGAAGATTTTATAGACTCTCATATTGCGTGCATGCAATGAAGTCATACTAGCTTTATACATTATAAAAGACAAACGTAGTTCAATGAAATAGCTGGTGAAAATTAAATAGTACGCTCGTAATACGAGATAATAATACACATACAGTACATCAATTTGCATACTTACGTATTGTCAGCTGTTGAAGTTAGGCTGTACAATAGAATATATGATATCATTTCCAACTATTGACGGATATTGTAATTTAGTTTTCTTAAGATAGAATATTTATCTCTATACAACGTTATTCTTTTATTGTAAAATGCTAGCTTTTGCCTTTTCTTATTAAAATAACAAGTAAGAATGATGCCTATTATTTCTTTTTTAAAAAAGAAATAATAGGCATCTCTTGACTTTTTCAAATTTTATAGAGTTAATAGAAAGGAAAACTTCTTTTTAATATCTACTGTTTCGAAAGTGACTTCTTGCAATGTTCGCGATTTTATGGTATAACAATCAATTATAATAATTGATATAGTTTTGTCTATTCTCGCGAATGATTGAGTTAATTATATTCGCGTTCTCGCGCGGCTAATTTTGCTCAGCGAAACAGTCATACATATCGCTCGTCTGTTTGTTCATCCGTCTGTTCGCGTTTCGTCGAGATGAGGTACACCTAAGACCACCTAAAAGAAAGCCTGAGGGAAAAACGCTGTTCGCCATGCGTCCATCGCCGATAGCAACTTCCTCCGCTCGCCCTCCACGTACGCGACGACGGCGGCGGAGAAACGTCCAGACGGGCGTCGTTATTGCTCCGGTGCTGAGGTCAGTCTACGTGACTGACCAGATATTGCCTGGTACGAGACCAGCGGTACCGCCGTGGCCACCGCCGTAAACCACCACTACCATTAACCGCCATGAACTCGCCACCGGGGCAATAACGCCTTGTCTTCGGAGGAGGATATTCGCTCCTCCGGCCCCGGCACGAACCCCTACTTTGTGCCCTCTTTGCGCGTCTTTTGTATTAATTTTCCTTTCTTACTCGATGAATTCGCCGTACATTTTCGTCTCTCTTTCGCGGAAAACGGCAATAAATCGTCAGCGGGATGAATTGGTGGCGACGTCGTGCGCGATGTAGGACGAACGATGAATTACGAATTTGTTTACATTGTAATTCAATTCGATAAAAAGCAATGACAAGCAAGAAGTGTATCGCTTGCAAATTAAATTTCCAAACGTTACATTTGATGGAAATAATTTATATTGTTTATGTATTAATTATGTGTCCGGTTCACTCATAAAAACGATAATATTCTTTTTTTTAATTTATATTAGCTAATATATAATTTTATGAAGGAAAATTAGAAGTAGAATGTATTTAAAAAATTTTTATAATTAGATTTATTCAAGTTTATAAAGTAATTTTTCAACCAGAACGAAAATAGGGGAGCTGTCTATTTGTTCCGTAGTTCTGTAGTTCAGAAATGATTATCTGAAAGAATTGTTAATTTTATGATAATTTGGTAGACGTGAATAATTTATGCCGAAGTTGCCATTATTCCCGAAAAGACTGTAAATGAACCCTGAAATTGACTCCAGTCCTTCGCGGAGTTGCAACTGCAGATGGCGAACATTGCTACTTTTCTTCTATTCTTGCGTCTTGATGGACGAATTTTCCAGGCTGTTCGGCAGGAGGACGTAGGCCGTGTGAATCCCATTCGTTAACGCACAATGTCGCTTAATTTCCGAAAGCACTTGGCGCGAAAAGCCAAGCGGGTGGCAATTCAATCGTGGCGCGCGCGCTCTATGAAAATAGAGCTTAATTCGGGCTCCTCCGTGTCGACGGTGCTGGTGATGAAAACAGCAACAGCGACGACGTCGACAACGACAATGATGTCGCTTCGACGTTGTCTCGCTGCTATCCTTATTCTCACTTTGTCCTCACTTTGCACGAATCGTAAGAGAATTATGATTGCAAAAAGTTTATAATAGTCACGTGATGATAGCACCAATGATAGCACTTATTGAATTTTGGCTTATCATATTTTTATAATGATATTTGAAAATAAGAGGAAATACAAGATGTAAAAGTAAAATTTATATAAATTTTTTTTCTTTGAAAGTTTCAGCAGAACGACAATTACGGAGTGTTTACAAATATTTAATAACAATTAATATTAAAAATTATATAGTGTCGATAAATTGATTTGATACATGATTAAATTAAACTGTTCAAATAATGTTTCAATTAGATAAATTTAAAGAGAATATTAATTAAAGATTTAATTAATTTTTAAACATTTCGAATATAGATTTATTTAAAGGAAGTATCTTTGCTACATTTCGTAATATAATTCAAATATAATCTTTTTTTGCATAGATTTATACATACGTAAAAAATACATCCTTCTAAATTCTATCTCCGAGATTTTTTCGGTCTGTTAAACATTTAATTAATTCGTAATATCCCAAGAGAGACGTGCGATTTCCGGAGTACAAAGTTGCGCGATCTCAATTGAAAATCGCTCTCGCACGCTATCTCGTCGTCGCTATCGCAAAGTCGGGCGGCGAAGTCGCTCTCTTCGGGACACAGTTTACCCCTCGGTAATTTCCCCCTGGCATTGAGGAATGCGAAAGTCGGCGATTCTTCGTGTAGAAAGAGAGAGAGAGAGAGAGAGAGAGAGAGAGAGAGAGAGAAGAAGAGAGAGACG